TTCTCCCTATTTTTTTATCTTGTTTCTCATCAATTTTTTCTCCTATCTTTACCTAATTCAATAAAGATCCCTCTATTCCCCAATAAGATGCTTTGTATCACTTCTCTCTCCTTATTCTCATATCATAGAATATAAAGCTTCAAAGTTTGTCAGCAAACACATCACACTGACACTTGAAGCTGGCAGAGTCGAACCCTGACCAGTGGGGCCAGGGAAAGCTTTCACAGAGACTCTGCCAAAAACCATGACATTGCAAGAACCTGCCAATCCTACACAAATATGACTTCTGCGAAGACGCCTGCCCTCCAGCTGCTTGTCCAGTCGGTGGCCAAAGATGGCAGCTCCCAACCACTGTGCCTTCACCCCAGCCTACAGTTTGCTGTGGTGCATGCAGCTGCAAGGTAGGGTACTCCTGCTTGTCCTTGCAAGGGCTCTGCTGCTGACGTTACAGTTGACAAAACCAAAGTTCAAAGGCACAGTGAGAGGGGAGCTTCGGGAAGGGTGCAGGTCACAGGTGCAGCCCTGTGATGGAAACTATCCTTGGAAAGGGACCCAGCCAACTCACCCTCCTTCCACCCTGTGGCACCATCTAGGAGCCAAGAAGGGGCTCTTCCATGAAAGACCAATCCAGTGTCCTGACCATATGCTTTCAAACTCCAAAACCATGGGAGTGAAGGTTTATGGATGAAGCCACTCATGCTGTGGCATATTTGCTACAGGAGCCAGAAAGGAAAGACCTGTAACCACCGTCTACCCTCGCTGACTGCTGTGAGAGTTAGGTTGCTAGAACTCCAGAGGTCTCTCGAGCCAGGCCAAGTGACTTCCCCAGCTGCAGCCTCCTGCTCACCCTCCCCATCTCCCCACTCCTACCCCTGCACACAGCCACGGGCCTTCCATTCATTCGCCCAACACACTCCAGGACCTGCTACAGCCACTGTGAGTGTCCCAGCCCCAGCCAGCACCCAGGAAGAGCTGATATCCTCACCCCAGGGCCCAGCCTATTGGCAGAACATCCCAATCCCACTGCTAGCGAGCCACCTGTCCCTGCTGACAGCACTCTGCCCAGCAAGCACCGTCCAGTCTCTGCCTGCACGCGTTCCCACAGCCTTGCTGTGGGTGATGGAAGCTGACCTACACAAGGCTCTGCTGCCCAAATAGGGGCAGCTGATGAAGGGGACCATGGGGCAGGGGACAAGTGGAGTGCATGGAAGCAGGCAGAGGATGACAGGTGGCCCAGGCAGGCTGGATGGAGACCCACAGTGAGAAGCCTGGCAGGGAGTTAGCACAGGGCAGTCAGCAGCTTGGTCCTAACCTGCAGCCTCTCTGGCTGGGCTCCACTCCCGGCCAGCCTTGCCCCCAGAGTCCCGACTGGCAGCCTTGGCCTCTCCTCCAGCCCTGGCTTGCCTCTCTCCCTCTCCACCTGTGTCAGAGTCTCTGAGCTCTTAACTGTGTCTATTTCCATCTCCTTAATCAGCCCCCATTCCAATGCTGGAGCTGTCCATGTGAAGCCCTGATCCCCTCAAGGCCCATGGGGTCCCACAGCCCAGGCCACACACACCTGTCCCCACCGCAGCCAGACCACAGACCAGACATGACATGGAGGCAAATGGCTGAGTTGTTCGTGTGGGGCAGGAAGTGGGCAAGTGACCACGTCTGGGGCCAGACAGTCAAGCAGCCCCTCCCATCTGCTCCCCTTCATCCACCCTGGCCCAATCCAGAGCATGCCAGGGGCCCCTGTGGACACAAGGTCATCCACAGTCAGGCCTCTGGGGCAGCGGGCAACAGCCATGACAAGGGCCTGCAGCACAGGCCACCTGGCTGCAGGAGGCCTGGTCCTTCTAGCAGACGCCACTCACCACATGAGCAGGTGGGTCCCGAGCCCGCTGGCCCCTCTGAACACTGAGAGGTCAGCAAGGCCAGGAGAAGCAGGGCACTGCAGGGAGTAGAGGATACAGGTCAGAGACGGATACTAAATGGGAGGAGAGAGGGAGACCACAGAGGTTGCTGGCCAGGACAGGAGCAAAAGCAGGAGCAAGCTGCCACTAAGCCCAGTGGGGCAGAGGAAACAGGATGAAATGGGGCTTCCTGAAGCAACAAGGAACAGCACATGCAGCCCAGCTTGGCAGAGGGACTGGAGGACAGCAAGGGCAGCTCCCTCACAGCTATGTGTGCTGGCTGGGGGACCAGGCCAAGCTGAGCAGGGTTGAGCTGAGCTCAGATGGGCAGATGCAGTTCACCTGAGCTGAGTTTGGCTGGGTGGAAAAGGGCGACGCTGAATTGAGCAGAACAGGGCCAAACTGAAGTGGAGGAGAGCAGGACAAAGCTGGGCTGGGCCGGGCTGAGGAGAGTTGAATTGGGCTGAGCAGGACCAACAGGGCAGGACTGGCTGGGCTGGGCTGGGCTGGGCTGAGTGGAGCAGAGCTATACTGGGCTGCACTGAGTTGGACTGAGCAGAACCAAGCAAGGCTGAGCTGGGCTGAATTGAGTTGTGCTGAGCAGGACCAACAGGGCTGGGCTAAACTGAGCTGGGCTAAGCAGAACCAAGCAGGGCTGAGCTGAGCTGAGCTGGGCTAGGCTGGGCTGGGATGGGATGACCAGAGCTGGGCTGAGCAGAACCAAGCAGGGCTGGGCTGAACTGAGCAGCACCAAGAGGGCTAAGCTGGTCCAAGCAGGACTAACTAGGGCTGAGCTGAGCTAGGCTAAGCAAAACCAAGCATGGCTGAGCTGGGCTGAGTTTGGCTGTGTAGGACCAACAGAGCTGAGCTGGGCTGGCCTGGGCTGGGCTGAGCTGGGCTGAGCTGGGCTGATCAGGACCAACAGGGCTAAGCTGGGCCGAGCTGATCTGAACTGGGCTGGGCTGATCAGGAACAACAAGGCTGACCTGAGCTGAGCTGGGCTGGGCTGGGCTGGGATGAGCTGGGCTGATCAGGACCAACAGGGCTGGGCTGGGCTGCACTGAACTGAGCAGGACAAAGCAGGGCTGAGCTAGGCTGAATAGAGCTAAGCTTAGCTGAGTTGAGCTGGGCTGATCAGGACTAATAGGGCTGGGCTGAGCTGGGCTAGGCTGGGATGGGATGGGATGGGGTGAGCAGAGCTGAGCAGGACCAAGTAAGGCTGAGCTGGGCTGGGCTGGGCTGAGCTGAACTGAACTGAGCTGAATTTGATCTGGGCTGATTGGGCTGGGCTGAGCTGAACAGGACAAAGCAGGGCTAAGTTAGCCTAAATACAGCTAACTTAGCTGAGTTGAGCTGGGCTGATCAGGACCAAGCAGGGCTAAGCAGGGCTGAGCTGTGCTGAACAGAACTAAGCTGGGATGAGCAAGACCAACAGAGTTGAGATGAGCTTTGCTGACCTGGGCTGACCTAGGCTGTACTGATCTTGACTGAGATGGGCAGAGCTAGGCTGAGTTGAGTTGTGCTGAGCGGGACCAACAGGGCTGGGCTGGGCTGAGCTGACCAGAGCTATATTGAACTGGCCTAAGCTGTACTGAGCAGGACCAAGAGGGCTGAGCTGGGCTGAGCTGGGCTGAGCTGAACTGGGCTAAGCAGAGCCAAGCAGGGTTGAGCTTGGCTGAGCTGGGCAGCTGGCCTGGCCTGGGCTGAACAGAACCAAGCAGGGCTGGGATGAACTGAGCAGGACCAAGAGGGCTGAGCTGGTCCAAGCAGGACTGACAAGGCCTGAGCTGAGCTGGGCTAAGCAGAAGCAAACATGGGTGGGCTGGGCTGAGCTGAGCAGAGCTAAGCTGGGCTGAACTGAGCTGGACTGGGCAGGACCAAGATCACTGAGCTGGACTGCTCCAAGCAGGGCTGAGCTGGGCTGAACTGAGCTGGGCTTAACAGAAGCAAGCATGGCTGGGGTGGGCTGAACAAGACATAACCAGGGCGAAGTGGAGCTGAGCTGGGCTGAGCAAGACCAAAACAGGCTGGGTTGAGCTGAATTGAAATGGGCTGAGCAGGACCAACAGGGCTGAACTGAGCTAGGCTAAGCAGGACCTAAGGGCTGGGGTGAGCTGAGCTGAGCAGAGATAAGTGGGGCTTAGCTGAGCTGGGCTGAGCAGGATCAAGCAGGGCTAGGCTGAGCTGGTCTATATTGGGCTAAACTGATCTAGACTGCATCAGGCTAAGCTATGTAAACCAAGCTGAAGTGAGTCCTGCTAGAAGAGCAAGGGTGAAGTGAGCTGTAAAGAACTGAGCTGAGCTGGGCTGGGATAACTGGGCTACACTGGGAGTCTTGGCAGAACAGAGTTGACCTGAGCTGGGCTGACCTAGGCTATGCAGGTGTCTGAGAAGAACAGGGCCTAGCTGGGCCACTCTGGGTACCTGTGCTGATCTGACTAAGCCCATCTGGCAGAGTTGAGCTGACCTGGTCTAGTCTGCACTGGACAGCTGTCCTGGTCTGGGCTTGCCTGAGTGGAGCCAAGCTGTCAATGAAAGGGCTGAGCTGCACACTGGAGATCGAGAGCCTCTGGGCCTAGCTGATTGTATCCCCATGGGTGTATTGTGCCATGAAGCCCAGTGGGCCTCCACAACGCTGACCTCCCTCTGCCCATTGCCCTGATGGAATGTCCCACATGCCAGTGGGCAGTGCACCCTGAGTCCCCAGCCCTGTCCCTGCAGGAGCACTGCTGTACACATGGGCTCTGGCCTTGGGACCCATCAAAGCCATGGGTGCTGGCTGCTGCCTGAGGGTGGAGTCGTGGTGCAGTGGGTGATAGGCCTGGGCCCTACAAGGCATGTGTGAAGTGGATCACCAATGAAGTTGGCTCCATAGTGCAACCATCAGCCCAAGCCAGCCCTCCCCACCCCACCCTACAGCCTTCTAGCTCAGGCTCTTCAGCTCCTGCCTGGGCACCAGGATGCTCAGTGGCCTAGCAGGGTTCGCTAGGTCTGGCTCCCCATTCATGCAGAGGCCCTGTCTGAAAAATCTGACCAGGTCTCATGCAAAGGCTGTCTGAGGGTCATGTTCAGATCCCAGGTAGCAAGGACAGGCTGGCCAGCTTTACCCCCAGGCCATGGCCCTGGTGCAACCAGAGCAGTCACCAGCCATCTGTGGGCCAGGTCCCTCCACCATAAGGAGTGGCAACATGGTTCTGACCTCTCTATGCCCATCTCACAGTGTGTTCCATGTTCCAGAGCCCATGACTCCCCCCAAGGTCTTCCCACTGAACCTCCCATGGTGCCAGTCCGGAGAACCTGTGATCCTCGGCTGCCTGATCAAGGATTTCTTCCCCCCGGGACCTGTGAGCGTGACCTGGAGCAAGCCTGGGGAACAAGTAGACTTCCCACCTTCCTTGACTAAGGAGGGGAACCGGTACATCATGAGCAGCCAGCTGAGCCTGGAAGCCAAGTTCCCAGAGGACACGAACGTCACATGCACTGTGCAACATGCCACAAATGACCCCATAGTAGTAGAAGTGTCAAGCTCAGGTGAGAGGGTGAGCTGGGGTGGACCACCCCTCATGCACCTGTGTCCTCCTCTAGGCGGCTTAGAGTCAAAAGGCGGACTGCCTGGCTCAGCCCAGGAGTGGACACAGAGAGCCCAGGAGGGGCCAAGAGATGGGCAAGGAAGGAGCAGGAGGGGCCACTGACCTACCAGGGTCTCTCTCTCTCACTAGCAGAAACTCCACCAACACCACCACCAGATTGTTCATGCTGCCAGCCCAGCCTGTCACTGCAGGGGCCAGGCCTTGAGGACCTGCTCCTAGGCTCTGAAGCCTACCTAACATGCACATTGAGTGGCCTGAAGAACAACCAGGAAGCCACCTTCTCCTGGGAGCCCACGGGTGGGAATACCGCCACACAGAACCCTGTTGATCCTGACTCCTGTGGCTGCTACCGTGTGTTCAGTGTGCTGCCTGGCTGTGTCGAACTCTGGAACAGTGGGCAGACCTTCACCTGCACGGCCACCCACCCTGACTTCAAAGGCACCAAGACCGCCACCATCAAAAAGCCCGAAGGTGGGTCCAGCCCCCACTCCTGCTCCCACACCACTCTACAGAGGGAAACTGAGGCTGACTCAGGGGTCAGGGCTCAATGGAGTGCTCTTTGCTCCCTGCCTAGCCCCTGACCCAGGTCTCTACCCCACAGAGAACTTCCGGCCCCAGGTCCATCTCCTGCCGCCGCCGTCGCAAGAGCTGGATCTGAATGAGCTGGTGTCACTGACATGTCTGGTGCGGGGCTTCAGCCCTAAGGACGTGCTGGTTCGCTGGCTGCATGGGAGCCAAGAGCTGCCCCGCAGCAGCTACCTGGTGTGGGATCCACTGAAGGAGCCCAACGAGGGTCCCACCACCTATGCTGTGACCAGTGTGCTGCGGGTGACAGCCACGGACTGGAAGCAGGGGGACAACTTCTCTTGCACGGTGGGCCACCAGTCCCTGCCCCTGCTCTTCACCCAGAAGACCATTGACCACCACTCGGGTAAACCCACCCATGTCAACGTGTCTGTGATCATGTCGGAGGCAGATGGCACTTGCTATTGAGCCTCCCTGCCCACCCTGCCCTTTCAATAAACACCATGCTCACCCACTACAGCCCACACTTCCATCTGGCGCCTGTCTGCCTGTCCATCCATCCTCCAGGTGTGCAGCACAGAGGGAAGGGCCAGGCCAGGAGGAAAGGACAAGCCCTGCCCTAGTTGCTGGGGCCCTGGGCTTCGATGTGTGCACCAGTGTGCATGTGCCTGAGAGTGAGTGTGCATGTATGTGTGCCATGGGCACTTGTGTGTGCCTGTGGGTGTGTGTGGGTGTGCTGTGCACATTTGTGTGTGCCTGTGCGTGTGAGTCTATGTGCATGCCTGTGAGCCTGTACCTGTGATGTATATGTGTACCTGTGTCTGTGAATGTGTATACATGGGCCTGTGAGTGTGCACGAGCCTGTGAGGGTGCAGTGCACAAGGGCTCAGGCCCAGCCCAGTGTGAAATCTGATATTGGCAGAGTCTCTGAAGTGGGCACAGGCCACAGGGGGCCCTGAGAGCAGTGCAGTCATGGGAAATGGCAGCTGGTAAAGTAGTGTGTATGACTGGGGTTGCCATGGCTTCAGCCAGGGAGGCCAACAAAGGGCAGACAGGAGCAGGAAACCCAGACAAGGTTGTGCCATTTGCAGGGGGTTGGAGGAGGGGGGCAAGATAATGAGAGCTGATTCCAGGGACAGCCCCCAGGGCAGGCACCTCCCCTCCCTGGGTCAGCTCTGGGCAGCAACACAGCTACATGGGATAGCCACTGAGTCAGGGGGCCACCTGGGTGGACATGGACCCCTGATAACACACTACTCATCACCTCCACAAGGGCACACGTGCACACATTCGTACACTCACACATGTCTGAGCCTTGCAGGTGCAGCAAGTGCACTGCCCACACCCAGCTCTAGGAAAGCAGGGGAGTCCCCTCCCAGCCCCCGGGGTTTCTCACGTCCAGCCTCACTATGCCCAGCCTCCCTAGATATCCAAACACCCCTCCCAGGCAGCCCCTGCACCCGAAGCTCAAGTTGCCCATACCCACCCCACCCCCAATCCTAAGTGTGACTCAAACCACAGAAGAGGCAGGGGCAGGCTGGGGAGGGGTCAGGAGTAGGCCAGGGAGACTGTTCCAAATGGAGCTCTGTGGGCCTCTAGCTCTTCTGGGCCCCAAAAGCTTGAAGAGAACAGTCCACAAGCCCTGTGGGGATACCTGGCACCCAGATGTCCACAGGGGGCAGCGGGGCCTCTGAGCTTGCCTCTGGGCCTTCCCAG